AGGTCTCATCTCCACCTCCCCCCTGGCAGGTTCAAGCCATTCCTCTTGGCCTGTCCCTACATCCCTTGTCCAAAGCCCCTCTCCAGGTTTCCTGTAGGCCCACTTTTAGTATTTGCACTTTCCTGGTCTGGCACAAGTACAACATTTAAAAGATGTCCTAAGTGTTTTCAAAGGAGAATCTTTGATAACAGCTCTGCAAAATGAAGCTGATTGATTACCTTGTCCAAGGAATAAGCTGTCCAGGAAGTTCCACCTCCCAGGATATAAATCCGTTGGCCATCGTGGGCGATCTCATGTCTGTACCTGCATGTGCACAGAAGGACATTCAGGAGCACAAGCAATCAGTGCAAGTGAGCACCAACAAAAGCCTTCTGGAAAATACCATCACATTTGAGTGGTTAAAGCAGTCACCCCAAGCTTGGCTATGCTGTATCAGTCCCTCGGATTGGGAGCATTCAGAAGACGTGGAAGCTTTCTTGAGCACCCCAAAGTGTGAAAGGCACCTTCTGGGAGCAGAGCACCACAGAACTTCAGTACAGTGATTTATGGAGCACCATGACAGGCATCAATATTCCAGCCTAAGATGGTCACTGACTGATCTCCCTGCCCTCCTTCCTCCACACTTTGCTACAGAATAGGACAAGGGACAGAGAGCAACTGGAGCTTCCTCCCCTCCTCAGCAGTCACCAGCTGCCCCAGGTCTCCAGCTCTGTTCTGGCCCCACAAAGTCCAAATCGGCATCCTGGCAAAGGCTTCACACCCCATCCCTACATCCCCCTGCACAGCAGACTGCTGAGCACTGGCTGTGCCAGGTTCACAGCCAAAACCACTGCTCTAAGAGCACCTTGCCTGCGTGTTCTCAGCCTCTCCCTCCCAGTAAAGGTGGTGAGCCCCCAGTGCAAAAGCTCTCTGAGACTGCCCAGCTTCTCACCTCTCCTCTGGCATGTCACAGGACATGTTGTTTGGTTTCAGCTGGATCCACTCTCTGGTGTTGAGGTCAAGCTTATGGAGGTCAGTGCTGTAAATGTAACCAGTTGTTCCTCCAAACACATAGAGACAACCATTGATGATGGCCATGGCCTGGAAGGTAACAGAGAGAAACCAGTCAGAAGGTATGTGTGACACCAAGTGTCTGGAAGAGAACTGCTGCCCCCCCAGAGCAAGACACTGCCTGAGAAGCTCTACCCACGGTTCACAAAGTGAGCAGCAGGAAGGGCAAACAAGGATGATACACAAAAGATGGGGGGTGGGAGATGTCTGTGGGAATGGAAAGAAACTCCATGACCACAAGATGAGGACCTAGAAGTGGAGCTGCTGAGTTTGAGGCATCACATAAGAGATCTGTGCAGCAGGGGCTCTCAGGAGCTAAACCCGAAGCAGTTAACCCTGAATCTCTTCCAGGCTGCCCTTACACAGATACTATTACAGAGAATCCTAAAACCAGCTATCAGACAGACAGTGGCATTAAGGATGATAGAGGAATCCCCACAGTGGGTGATTCAGACTCAACAAGAGAGACAGGATACCATTCAAAAGCACACAGGACCATCAGCCAACTGAAACTGCAAAGGCACCATTCCCTGGTGCAGCCAGAGACCTACAAGCACCTTCTGCTCCCAACTGCCTGTTTGCCAAAGGCCAGCTCGAGCTGAACCAGGCAAGAGGAATGCTGCTTTCCTTCCCAGAGCATCTGGCACACATCTAAAGGAGAAATTAGCTGGGTTATAAATGTCTGCACCACAAGCACATTGGGAGTATTATTGGAAAGCACAGCAAAAGGTGGCAGCCTCCTGGGGGAGTGAACCTCTTGATTTGTACACCACGTTCATTCATTACATTATGGGAAGTCCTCAAAGTCGTTATTCCAATACAAATAAGACCTACTAACTGCTGTTTTCATTTACAATTTGGGTTTTAAAGGCTTTGAGGAGGCTGCAGAGCAACTCTAGAACCTACCAACCATTCCTTACCTCAGACACACTTTTGCATTCAACTGCACCTGGCAGTTAGTTACCAAATCCTGGCTTTTCTAACTACAAGAAAACTATTCCTTTGAAATCTTAAAGAACCAAGAGTGCTCTATTTATGAATGAACCTGCCTCTCCTTCTCTTAGGTACACAGAGAACAACTCCAGTTACCAGCAGAGAAGAGATCTCCATGCTTTGTGGCACACAGCCCAGTGCACAGGCACAAAGTGCCTCACAAGGGCCGTCCTTCATACCTGGCCATAGATTCGATTGGGTTTCTTTCCTCGGCAGCTGAGCAGAGCCCATCTTTTGTACTTGACATTGCAGACGTGGACATCGTTGCCATTACTCTCCCCAAAAGGGATCCCAGTACCCCCAAACACCAACAGGTTGTTGCCATGAAGTACAACTAGGAGAAAGAGACAGAGCAGAGAGACTTGTTGCTGTGAGATGCAGTAAAGCAGAATGAGACTCTGCTCTGGAGACAACAGGCAGAGAGTTCAATATTGTTCAATACCCCACAATTCACACTCTGCATTTAGGGCTTTGAAATGCTCTAAAGGAGAAAGAATGCAACCTAAAACCATGGTAACCAAAGGCCTACTTTTAAAAATGGCTAGTGAACAAAGAGATCTATTTTGGGATGCTCTGGGATGTCTGAGTGCACTGAGCACCAAGCTGCTGGAGGTGCAGGTGCTTTGCAATGATTAAACACCTGAAGCCAACCTCTTGTGTTTGAAACTCTTTCTCTTTGCCTCAACCGGAGTGAAAGGGGAAAGAAAAATCACAAAACCAAGCCAAACTCGAGGCCTATAGTTGGAAACAGGATCCAGATTGTCCACTTCTTGCCCAGATTTGCATTCCACAAGGGACACACATTAAAATAGCTTCAGGAGAGGGTGTTGAGTTTCCATACGTACGTGACATGGAGGCCAGCTCCCTGGGCATGTAGCCTTCAGTGCCCATCTGGTGCCAGGTGTCTGTAGCAAAGTTGTACCTCCAGAGTTCCCTGAAGAGGGGGTAGTCTTCATTCTCTGGCCCTCCAGACTCAACATAGTCAGGGTTGTAGCCTCCAAACACATACAAGTTGGCATTATCCGCCACACAACGATGGCCACTTCTTGCTGGTGGAGATCTATGGCCTACAGCAAAACGAGAAGGTAAAAGAGCTTTGGTGAAAGGAGAGCAGAGGAGCTGAGCTGGTGTCTGAGGGTCAGGATTACATCTGCTGGTGGCTCCTTTGGGCACGGGACCTGCTCCAAGGTGTCCCCTTCAGGAGCCTTCTCTTCTCCAGCTGCCCCAGCCCAGCTCTCTCAGCCTGGCTCCAGAGCAGAGCTGCTCCAGCCCTCGCAGCAGCTCCGGGGCCTCCTCTGGCCTCGCTCCAGCAGCTCCACGTCCCTCTTGTGCTGTTGCCCCAGGTACTTGCTGTATCAGACCTGTGTTGCTTAATGTTTAGGTAGCCCAGGAGTTTCCAAGGTGAAAGAGCCTTCTTGAGGTATAAGGTGCCAGGAGCAAAGAGAAGAAACAGCAGGTTTGTGTGGGAGGGAGAGCAAATCATTACTTTTCTTCTTTGTTCCCATCTGGCAGCTTAAATATAAACATTTTGGAACTGTTTCCTAAGTGAAATCTGCCACAGAGAGTGACAGAAGGGGGAATTTGTAAGATAGCTCAGAAATAGCTTTCATGGAGGGATTGCCACGTGGAAGGATTGTTGTGCATGAACCTGCAGGTCTCTAGGCTGGTGTGGTCCAGGGGCTGGAGTGGACAAGAATGAGATGGTGACATAGAATCATAGAATGGTTGGGGTGGGAAAGGATTCAGTCCCAATCCCCTGCCACAGGCAGGGACACCTTCCACTTGACCATGTCACCCAAGGCTCTGCTTGGAGAAGTGGATCTGTCGTTACAGAGCTGTGTCCTCCTGGCTGCAGATGTGCTTCCCTACGGCAAACACCAGCCACTCTTTCGGAGGAGCACCAGAGGGCTGGAGCAGCTCTGCTCTGGAGCCAGGCTGAGAGAGCTGGGCTGGGGCAAGATGTTAAATAGCGTCAGTTCCAAATGTAGAATCAACAAATCTTAGATCAAAACTGGCTTTTGTCTTCCTGAGGTAGCACAGGGCAAGAAAAGTCTGCGGACAACTGGGAAGTGATGGGTGTTGAGATTTGAAGGGGATGGAGGAAAAATTATAGCTCAGTGCCTCTTGGCTTTGTGAATTGTTGTTGTTTTGAAAACCTAATTATCTTAACTTCCATGTGTTCAAGGCCACGTTGGACGCAGGGGCTTGGAGCACCCTGCTCTAGTGGAAGGTGTCCCTGCCCGTGGCAGGGGTTGGAGCTGGAGGAGCTTTAAGCTCCCTTCAACTGGAACCATTCTATGATAAAAATCTGCTTGTAGACAAAGGCACTTGCACTGGGAGGGAGCACGGAGGGAACCCATCTAAGATCCTACAGATCCTTCACGACAGGCAGACACAGCCCTTCCCAAAAGGCCTGCCCACCCTCTTGCTATATGCCAAAGGGAACAGAAGCAGGGAGGACAAGCTCAGAACTCAACTGGAACAGACCATAAAAGACTGATTCAGTCCCTGAGAACCTACAGAGCAACATTCTTGTTGGAGAACAGCAACTGATCAAAAAGCATTTCCAAGCTTGCTCAGGTTTGATGCACAGCGAGAGCTGAGCACGGTGCCAGACGTGGATGTTTTCCTACAAGAAGACACAGGTCCTTAGAAGGAATGAGAAAGATGAAAGGAACAGAAAATGATCAGGGCCTGAACAAAGAAGCTGGTTGGAGACAAGTGTAGAACACCAGGAAGGTGTCAAAACTCATGTCTATGCAATGCAAGTGTTTGGTGAGAGTAACTCTAAGCTTCATCTTGAGGAGGATACATTAACAGCCCCCTGAGATGTACAACTTCAGCATGCAACCATCACTCCCTCGAGCACATCCTCTTGCTTGTGGCACCTCAAGACCTGCTTTGGTTCAGTTGACAATAAAGAGCAACCCCCAAAAACCTATCACAGAATCATGGAATGGTTCGGGTTGAAGAGACCTTAAAGCTCATCCAGTTTCAACCCCCTGCCATAGGCAGGGACACCTTCCACTAGAGCAGGTTGCTCCAAGCCCCATTGCCCTGGCCTTAAACCATCAGAAGATTCCTGAAGACCCCTCACCCAAACAAACCAGAGATCTTCACCACTCAATTGCTCTCACTGCTCTTTTACACACTTCCAGGATGGATCAGAACCCAGCTAAACATCTATGTAGGACCCATGTTTGCTTCTTAGAGGCTGTTACAGTTCTGAGCACTGAATCAGACAATAATGAATGAGGCATCAGGAATCTTTCCTACAGCAAAGGTGAAATAAATGCTTTGCCCAGACTCAATAACGAATTTTAACTCAGCACAAACAGCTTTGCTTCATCACGTTCCCCATTTGCTGCTGCTTTAAGCTCCAGCTCTGATCCAGAATTCAGCTGCTCTGCAGGGTTCAGACAAACTCCTTGTGGCTGTTCTGACAGATTTGGGTTGTTTCCAGTAATAATTGTGTCTCGCAGCAATGCCCACTGTAGAAAATAAGCACTGTGTTTGCCCTGAAGGTCTCCAAAACGAAGACCTGAAAGAACTGAAACAGGAGCTTAATTCCAGCACTGATGGGAGCACAGTTGCACACGTTTTGCAGGGGAGTGAGGATCTAATTCAATCACTCACTGAATTTAACAGGTGACAGGGAATGAGGAGTTCAAATGTTACATTAACTACAGATCCTGTCTCCCTCTAGTTATAAAGCTCGCCATAAGAATTCTTCCATGAGAGGGAAGAAAGGAGAATCATAGGATCGTAGAATCCCAGGTTGGAAGAGACCTCAAGGATCATCTGGTCCAAGCTTTCTTGGCAAAAGCAGAGTCTAGACTAGATGTCCCAGCACCGTGCTCAGCCTAACCTTAGAAGTGTCCAACATAAATAAAGCTGAGTTTTATATAAAGCCAACAGACTGAAGAGGAACAGGCATAATTCAAAGGCAACAGATTAAAGAACTAAACCAAGGAGACCTTCTCTGCCACTCACCTCTCAGAATCCAAAAGGGACTTTGCCACAAAGCCCCAGAACAGAGAAGTTTCAACAGAAAGGGATCAATGTTTGATGCTTGCAGGTCCTTGAGATAGCAAGAGGGATACATTAAGCCCATACACAACCAAGCTGCTTTCACCTCTTGCCATTTAGCTACAAACACATCTCCTGTCCTTCAAAGATGCTTACTGGAAGATACTTGGAAGACACAGAAAGGGCATCAGAAGCCGGAGCTGGTGTCAAACAGGTAATGCCAAGTACCCAACTGAGACAGTCTGAAGGGCCCGTCCTTTCCCTGCAGCATTACTGCTGCAAACCACATCTGCCACTAGTTCCCTGCCCATTCCCAGCAGCTCCAAGGGCTCTGTGCACTACAGGAACAAAGTCCACTAAGCACTCACTCAGTAACTGTCAGAGCTGTGGATCCCCACGGCAGAGCTGGCCTGTCCCTGTCCCTGCACTCACAACTCAGCTGCTCAGGGGAAATCAACTGTCCTCAGCGCTGAGTTGAGCATCAAACTGGGGATGAGAGCAGCCAAAATGCCTCCTCCTGCTGTGCCTGCTATGTGCTGGTGACTCCCAGGGAAAGGAGGGCTGGAAATGCCAACCAGAGCCCATGTAGCTACAAACACAAGCAATTCCATTTTGCTCTGATCAGGAACAACACATTCTCTGCTCTATTCAAGCTTTGTTTGCTCAACCCCATGCTCCACACGTAAGGACTGACTTCTCTGAAAGGCTTCCCATTTCCAGCTTGCTGGTTTTCAGCTTCACTCTTCACTGACCCCTTCGTCTCACTGGACTGGATCCTCCCACTCGCAGAGGCTCAGAGAAGATGACTTATCTACTCATGAAACAGAGAAAAAAGTTATCCAACAACATCTTCTGAGTCACCTCTGCAAGCACTGGACAATGTTAAACTGAGTTAAATGGTCACAGAGTGAAACTGTCACTAAATTCTTCTGTTGAGACTTGAAGTGACCTTAACTGCCCCTCTGCTCTGCTCTGGTGAGACCCCACTTGCAGCACTGGGTGCAGTTCTGGGGTCCCCAACATAAGAAGGACAGGGAGCTGCTGGAGCAAGAGGAGACCATGAGGATAAGCAGGGGCTGGAGCAGCTCCTGTAGGGAGACAGGCTGAGAACATTGGGGCTGTTCAGCCTGGAGTGAAGAAGCTGCTGGAGACCTCAGAGCAGCTTCAGTGTCTGAAGGGGGCTACAAGGATGCTGGAAAGGGACCTTCATCAGGGACTGGAGTGACAGGACAAGGGGTGATGGGTTTAAATTTAAACAGGGGTGATTTAGGTTTGATATAGGGAAGAAGGTCTTTACTGTGCCAGCGCCTCAGCACCCTCACAGTAAAGAACTTCTTCCCTATTCCCTGGCAGTGTTCAAGGCCAGGTTGGACACAGGGGCTTGGAGCAACCTGCTCTAGTGGAAGGTGTCCCTGCCCGGGCAGGGGTTGGAGCTGGAGGAGCTTTAAGGTCCCTTCCAACCCAAACCATTCTATGATTCTATGATTCTAATTCACTTTAGAAGAAAGTCCTAGAAAAAGATTCCTCTAGTTCTGTCTTTTCAAAGAAGAGACCTGTAAAAGCTGAATCTCTTTAATTCAGATTGGTTTCTTCAGCAGACAAGCTCTGTGACCTGCACCTCCAATGAAGAGCTGCATTTCCATTCAATGCTGCTTTATCAGATGATTCACATCTCCTACTGAAATCCTTCATCCAAGTTTTGGATCTGCTTGTGCTCCAGCATTACTGGTGTACAATGAGCCTATTACACAAGTGCAGACTCCAGATGGGGCAGGAAGAGGGAAACACCCAAGGATTTGCTAACTTCCTCCTCGAGTTAGCACAGCCCAGCTCCCCAAGAGCTGACCCTGCCACACATTCAGGATGAGCCCAATACTAAGCAGAGCACAGCAAGGCTCTGTCACCATGAAAAGCTGCAGGTCACCAGGCTCTGTTGTGAATTCTCTGATGGCAGACATGGAAAGTAGCAGCACAATGTCAAGACAGATCTGTGGGCTCATGAAACTAGCTATAGAAAATGGCTTTAAAGTGCATGGATATAATCTGGAAAGCATTTGTCTTCCCA